TATTAGTCAACTATTAATTTTATTCGTATTTTCAATTTTCTATTGGTTTTTAGATTTTCTCCCTTTTTCGATTGCATTTATTGTTTTAAAAGTGTAAAGTTTTTTTTTTTCTTTTTTTTTTTTTAAAAAAAAAAAAAAATGCAAATGGACGTTTGGCATACATACAATGAATTTGAGTAAATTTGTATAAGTAAATTTGAGTAAATTTAATTAATTAATATTAATTTGAGTAAAATTCTTTAATTAATTAATTACAACGTAAATTACGTAAATTACGTAAATTCATGTGTTTATTTATTTTTTTTCGCAATATGACTTCATTAACAAATAGTTGATCTTGAATGTAGTGTCATATCTTAAATATTTTACATTAAATATTTTACATTATGCAAACTTAAAGAAAAACATGAAATATATTTGTCACAAACAGCAAATATAATTATTAATTATTTATTTGTTTAAATTATATATAATAATGTAATCACATCAAACTCATTAAACTCATTGCATCAATTTAATCGAAAATGATAATTATTATTATCATGACTATTATTAATGTTATTATTATTTTAGCGAATTTGCAGAATTTTATTTATTTTATTTTATTAATGTGAGAACCAATTAATATTAATTAATATTAATTTAGATTAATATTATTAATCGTGATATTTCGTATTACTTTTTTTTTTCTCTTTTGTAATGCGTTGATACTGATTGATTTACATGCACATTTAAAAAACAACAATCTTATTTTCAACCCCTTATCTACATTATGACTCATCAATAATGGTATTAATCAAAAAAACCTTTTTTTATGAATTTTAATATAGCATTTATTAAAATTATTAGGATTTATGATTTTTGATTGAACAAATTAATTTCCGATTAATTGTTTAAAAATTATTGAAATTATTATAGAATTATCATTTTATTATAAAAGAATTTAAATTATAAAGTTTATTATATGGAATATTTATTTAATTTAATATTAGTGAAAGTTAATTTTGTCAATTATAAAACTATAATTATTATTATGATGAAATATTAAACTATTTAAAACTATCGAAAAATCATAAGATTCATATTTACGATTTCAGTAATTTATTAAAATTTGTATAGGAAAAAGTTGCTTAAACTTTATTTGTACAGTATAATGTTTTTTTTCAGGGATTACATATTATTGTGGTTGTACTATTTTTGTTATGTATTTCCTTTAATATATAGTACAATAAACAAATGTAGAAACACATATCTTAGGTCAAGAAGAACCATTTAAGAATTCCAATTTTTCTAATTAAATAAATTGCCGACAATGCATTAACTGTTAATAATCTTTTAATCTTTTAATATCATTAATGTAGTAATATATGTTAGACCTTTACTATGATTTGCAATTATATTTACATATATGTATATATATATTTTTTTTAATATTGTTGATATATTTAATATTAATATTGTTAGATATTAAATTTATCCGGAAAATGTAAAAAATTTTGCCGGAAATGTATACAATCATATTATGTTTGTCGCATTTGTAATATATTATAATATATTATAATACTTTGATTAAGAGTCGTAAAAAAAAACAACGATTACAAATATAAATAACAAGAAATTCAAGATTACAAATATAAAAAATCAAGATACAAAATAACAAAGTGTAAACAATAAAAGGTACAATTACATACAATAAATTCCTATAAACAAATAATTATTAAAAAAAAATAAAACTTAATGAAATATATTAATAAATATTATTATTATTATTATTAAAAATTTTGTCTTAACCGAAAAAAATATAAATTCAAGATTTTAGTATTACGAAAAAAAAAAAATACATTATTAAAAAAAAAAAAAAACCTTAAATTTATTTTTTTCTGCACAATGAATATGATCTAACATCAACCGTTGTTGTGGTACAATTAGTATATTCAAGGGGATGATAATTATATACAAACAAACATAATTCATTCAAATGCCTTATTTATACTTTTGCCAATCCCTCGTGAAACCGATCAGCAACACAACAACGAGAAAATTAATAAAAATTTCGAACCTTAAAACTATTTATTACTATATATATGCAGGGCGAGTTGTCTGCATAATATTTCGGTTTCTCCCTGATAAAAAAAATAATATGTAAAATATTTATGGTGATTTTTTCAGGAATTTTTAACTTTTATATCATTACATAAGATCGTATATATATATATGCGTATGTGTATTGATAAGGAAATTAATAAAGTGTCTAATATTAGAATTAAGATTATAATTCCAATAATTAATTCTTTGAATTATCAATTAATTGTATTCATTATGCACGGGGGTAGAGTAATTAATGTCATGTCATTATTATCAATCATAATAGTCTATTGTTGTCCTCCAATTATTTATTAAAGTCGCCAAGTTCTTCTTCTCGATAAATTTTTAAAAAAAGAAAAAAAAATCATGGATTCATTATCTTCGAAAAAAATAGTTTATTTTCTTTTTTCTTTATCTTCCTGATTTATGTTAAATAAGTAAATAAATAATGATAATTTCTAATTCTTTATTGAATAAATATCTAAAAAATTTAAATTGTGTAAAAACCAAACATGAATGTTTTATTGCGTAATAATAATAATAATAATAATAATAATAATAATAATAATAATAATAATAATAATTAATAATAATAATCATAATAAATATATAAATAATCATAATAAATTAATCATCATATATGTAAAAATGATTCTGTGATATTTATTAGCTGTGACATCTCATGGTACACGTGCTTATTATTTATTTTATTATTATTAAGTTCCCGATGCCGATAACATATAAAGATATTTGATATTGTATAAAATTAAATAAATATGATTTTATCCATCATTCGCATCTCTAAATATTATTATTATTTATTTATTTATCCAATCAACTTATTTTATTTATTATTTTTATTTTATTTATTAATTTATTTATTTTATTTATTTATTATTTTATTTATTTATTATTTTATTTATTTATTATTTCATTTATTTATTATTTTATTTACTATTTTATTTTATTATTTTTATTTCATTTTAGATTAGATTAATAATCTCAGATATAGATATAGCTAAATAAAATAAAAATAAAAAGAAAAAGAAAAGAAATAGTAATCAGAAGTGAAAGTACTCTCTTACATGCTCACAACACGCGATTCTTTTAAAATAGATATATTTCAGATTAAAGTTTTTTTTTTTTTAAAGTAAAAAAAAAAAAAAAGAAACATGGTCTTCTATCATCTTCGTTTAGAAATTGATATGTGCGCGTGATGCGTGTATTGGTTTATTTATATAACATATCTATATAATATCTTTTTATCTTTATTATCTTTATTATATTTTTTTTATTTTATTTTTAATTTTTATCTTTATATTTATATTTTGCCGCCACTTCTCAAAAAAAAAATATTTGCTTATTGAAGACATGATCTCAAAACATAATGATATCAGCATAATTGCAGATAATTTTCTTTGTTCTTTAAATATGGTTATATTTCATCATAAACATTAATGTATTATTTATATTTATATACATATATATATATTTTCAATAAAAAAAGAAGAAAAAGAAAAAGAATAAGAATAAGAAGAGGGAGATAGATAGCGATATTAAGTTTTAACATATGCATATAAGCAAGCGGTATTTCTTTTTTTTTTCTGAAAAAATAAGTACTTGTTTCTCTATTTTTTTTCAGTATTTATTATATTATATATAATAAAAATTCCATTTTTAATATACAAGAATATACGGAATACATATTACTGTACATTACATATTTTTGTATATCCTCGGGATAAATAATTTTATTTAAATATTTAAATATAATAAATATACTGTATGTAAATAATGTAAATATTTATATACATAACATAAAAATTTAAAATAAAAATTTAAAATAAAAATTTAAAATAAAAATTTAAAATAAAAATTTAAAATAAAAATATAAAATAAAAATATTAAATAAAAATATAAAATAAAATTATAGTGGAGAAATTACCTGGTCATACAAAAAAAAAATAGAAATAACTTTAATATTTACATATAATTTTGTATTAGAAAAATTTTTTTAAAAAAAAGGTATGTGCGTTACCTGACTTCAAAAATAAAACAGAAATTTTTTAAAAAAAAAAACTGGTTTTTTTTTTATTTATTCTTATACTGTAAACATACATATATATTGACCACATATTTTCTTCTTCCTCAACCCGCTCAAAATATTTTGAACTATTCAAATAAAATTTTTTTCTTCTTGAAATAATTTTTTTTTTGTTTTCGCGATTTTCAAAAAAAAAAACAAACCAACGGAAAGCGAAGGAAAGAAAGAAAATTATAATTGTTAATATTATTATGGACATAAATAATTTGATCAGGTTTTTATAATTACAAATTTCTTATCTTTTAATAATAATGATGATTTTTAATAATAAATAATAATAATAACAACTTTTAATAATAAAATTTTTCTTTCAAATAGTCCTAATTCGAATTCTGCGACTAAAAGACAACAAAAGACATTATCTTGTCATGAACCTACTATGCCTTTCTCACATTATCACAATAATCATAATAAACGACAAAGTTATCCTCCAATGATTAATAATTCTTCTTGCAGTCAAGGAAATCATCATTCACCATTTCTTTCTCCACCTTTATCACAATCTATTTTACCAACCTCGCCACCACTACCACCACCACCACAACAACTATTACCGCCGCCTTCTTTTTCTATTTCATCTTCATCATCTTCATCATCTTCATCTATTTCTTCATCTACTACTTCTGCTACATCTTTATCTCCTCCACCAATTAATTTACATAAACCAACTAACACCAAAACAGTAATAACATCACCATCACAACAGCAACAACTACAATTACAACAACAATTACAATCACAATCACAACAAATACAATCGAAACAATTACAATCACAACAACAATCATCACAACCAACTTCACAGATTGAAATGTCTCAACCACCCCAACAACAATCTCGTCGAATGGCTCATATCTTATCAGAACAAAAAAGGCGAGAGAATATTAATTCAGGATTTGAAGAACTTAAAAGCATTGTACCAAGTTGTCGTGGTTGCGCTGATTCCAAAGCTGTCATATTACGTAAAGGTAAATATGATAATAATAATATTTAATAATAAGTAATACAATAGGTTCACATGGAAATACGAACTTTATTTAAACGAACCAGGTGTTGACTTGGCGCATTAATCAGCATCATACATGACATTACATTATACTCTTTTTATATCATTTAAATATCATTTTTTTATTATCATTTATATCTTTTTATAGATTTTTTAAATTTTCCCTTTATTTACTTTTATATACCTTTTTTACCTTTTTGTATGATTGAATACATTTTTAATAATTTATAAATTTATATATATATTTTATACTTCGTATGCTTTCATATACTGTTATATAATTTACTTTTTATAGACATTATAACTTTTATATATAATTTACTTTATTAAATAATTTACTTTACTAAATAATTTACTTTATTAATATATATATATATATCTATCTATCTATATATATATATATCTATATATTTCTTTATTTCTTTATTTATATTTCTAGCGGCACATTATATACAAACGTTAGAAAACCAAATTCAAAAATTGAAACAATCAAATAATAATTGTGGTGGACCAACAATTTCAACTCCTCCAAATTTATCATCACCTGCCATGTCAGTTAAGTCAATATCATCTGGTAATTATTTAATACATATTTATATGTCATAATGATTGTTTGTATTAATAACAATAATTAAATTGATTGATTGTATTTTAATAATAATGATAATTGATTGTATTAATAATAATAAATAATAATATAATTCTCTCAATTTTTAAATATGTCATAATTCACCATACAGTTCATCATCCACCATTAAATCATATTCATCATCATTGTCATCATCCATCAATCAACAATAACGGAGGAGAGAATTCTATATATGATATGGTTGATTATAATCAAAGAATTTTGGAAGAAAAGAAAATACATCAACAACAAATTGAACAACAACAACTACAACAACAGCAGCATAAAATTTCAAATAATCAATGGCAATCTTCATCACCATTATCAAATTATAATAATAATAATAATAATAATAATAATCATAATAACAACAATAATAATAATTATTCATCAGAATTAGAATCATCTCCTCCTCCTTCGTCAACATATCATCAACATAATCATCATCATCACTATTCTCCTCTCAATCATAATTCTCATCCTCGTCCTTCTCATCATTATCCAAATCTTACACATCCAATACCTCGTTATCCTTCTCAACAACAGCAACAACAAAGTTATTATCAACAATTTAAAACTGAAAATAACAATAACATGGATTGGGCATCAACCGGAAATAAAATAAATCCCAATTTTAATAATAATAATAATAATAATAATAATAATATCAATAATAATTATGAAAATAGTAAACAACAACATCATCAACAACAACAATCATATAATCATCGAAATTATCTTCTTCCTCACCATCATTCATATTATCATAATGATCACACACCTTTACATCATCCAGATATGAATGTAAAATAATTTGTATTGTCAATTAATCAACAACACAACACAACGATCGTGGTGATAATCTCAAAATTCGTTAGTGTGACAAAGACTCAATTATACGTGGTAGTTTGAATGAAAAACAAACATTTTACCATTACATTTTTTTATTATTTATTTTACGATCATTAGTTAATAATGTTAGTAATAAAATAAATAAATAAATAAATAAAAAAACACCCATGAAAAACAATTCCTCCCCCCAAAAAACAAGTTAATTAACGAGATAAAAACAAGTTAAAAAACAAGTTGCGAGAGAGAGAATGAATGAAGTAATGGTAAAAGGATATATTATTGAGATTTTCGTCACATGTTATTGTGTATTAATAATATTAGTATTATGCATATTGTATATAGGTGTACTGAAAAAAAAACCAGAGATTTCGTGATTCCTTTTTTTTTCAAAAAAAAAGATTATTTTCAAAAAAAAAATTTTTTATCTGATCAATTTTTGATTCATTGATTGATTGATTAATTAATTGATTTATTTATTGGTGATCTGTGATTTAATTTTGTAATAATAATAATAATAATTGTAATAGTGAGAGAGAGTAAAATATTATCATTAGAATTTGTTTTGTTTTGATGGCTGAGATAATCTAAGCAAATTGTGTCATCATCAACATAAAGAAAAAAAAAATGAGGCTGTGTGTGTGTTCGGTAATTCTCGGGGTTGTTGACTTCCATAAAAATATAAGTAAAAAAAAAAAATAATAAAATAAATAAAATAAAATAAAAAAAAAAAGACTGTTAATGAATAATTTCTACGATTATAACAAAATAAAATAAAATTTGATTAATACAATCTTTTTGTGTGTGGAATAAAAACAAACACGAGCCTTACACAATCTTTTTTACACACACATTCCTTTACACATTCTTTATTCATTATCATTACATGTGAACAATGTGAACAAAATATCATTAGATGATCAATTATTTATTTATTTCACATTTCTCTCCTTTGAATTCTATCCAATTTTGTTTCTCCAAAATAATAACATAATATTATTATAATTCAATATTTTATTATTATCCAATAAGTAAAATGTGATGATGATTATTTAAATATTGTTTAAATATTTATGTAATACTAACAAAATGTCGTGTTTCAATAAAATATTAATAGAAACTGTAATGAAAGTTTAATAAAATTTGAAATGAAATTATGTATTGATTGAATAATGATAACGTAACGTGTGAATGAAATTGAACCTCAACTATACAAGATTCGCAGTAGATTGTTTACTTGCCTGTATGATACTATTTTTGAAATAATTGATAAAATCCAAATTTATCATTTAAAAACTGGTAAGTAAACTGGTAAAAAATCAAAGAATTTTTTAACGTTGAAAGAAAAGTTATAATTAATTTTACCATAAATAGCATAAACCTAACCATTATAATATTATTATCATGTGGGCGTCATGAAATAAAATTGATTTTGATTTTTTGATCTTTGTTATTTTATTTTTATTTATCATTTCTTTTATTTTTTTTTATTTTATTTATATTTATTTTTAACGCCTTGGAAAAGAAAAAATAAAAATTCTAAGATGACGTATTATATACCTAAGATCATGAGAACATGAGATTTATCATATCTACTTTTAGATAATCAACCCCCGAATTTAATTTGACATATTTTAATGATGTTCATCTTTTTTTTATTATTATATTTTGATTTGCACTTAATTTATTCATTTTTATTTCATTATTTATTCATTATTTATTTATTTATTTTTTATACCTGTTACTTATCATTATTATTTATCATTATCTTTACTTTGACGGGATAAGATTTCCCACACCATCTGCAAGATAAAATTTAGTCACATGGGCCATGGGGTATATGTACCCTCATAATAATAATAAGTATATAAAAATTTTTTTTTCTTTTTTTGTAATAATCTACAATCTTACACTATCCAATAATAATAATCCATAATTACTATTCGCGTAAAATAAAATAAAATAAAATAAAATAAAATAAAAAAAGTAATAAAAAAAAAAATAACGCACGAGCCCTTTATTACACATGCCTATAAAATTTTCCTGATTTACACTCATTATTACTACTAAAATTTACTAGACAAAAAAAAAATATATTATATTTATATTTTGGTAAATCATTAAAAATTTTAATATAATTGGTAGAATTATAACCAATAATATTTTTTTTTAATTAATGATGTTAGTAATGATATTAATATAGAGTATTAATGAGATGTTATTAATTTTCAGGATTTACTGACCACATAAAGAATAATATTAATATTGCATGATGAAGAAGAATAAAAATATAGTAATAATAAAATAAAGAACACACATAAAGAATAATAATAAATTATGATAAAGAAATAAAGTAAGAATGAATGAATGAATGAAATAAAGAAATAAAGTAAAAATAAATAATCAAATAATTAACTATAGTAGGATTAGATTCAAAATCGATCAATCAACCTGTATATGAATATATAAGTATATATGCACTCATTCTACCATATACTATACATATTTAATCATTAAATGTACATACATAAATGTAACATTTCATACTGCGGTTAATAAAGAAGATCGTACTAAAAATACGTTACAATTGACCTACATAGAAATTAGTAGAATTATATTATTTATAACTTATAATCATTATTATTTATATTTACAAGTAAAAAAAAAACAATGAAAACAAAGTTCCGAACGAATTAAGAAATTATAAAATAATAAAATATATTTAATATGAATAACAATAATAACATTATGATAAAAATAGAAATTGTGAAAGAAGAAAAAAATAGATTCATTCTTGAAGAAATTTTCGGGTATAAAAAAATTATCTCCAAATGTTCTTATTATTATTTAATTTTTGTCAATTATAATATATTCAAAAACGCATTCAAACATATTAAGACATATTCAAATAATTCGTGAGAGTTCTAAAATATTCATTTATGTGTGAAAAATAATCAAACAATAATTGTTTCAAAACACGCACATCTTTTTATCCGAGCATTTAATAATTTTTTCTAGAATATATTATTATTATTATTATCATAATTAAATGTTTATTATGAATTAATAAGTTGATCACGATCGTACCACGTTCTCTCTCTCTTCACCCCTTTACAATTATAATTGAAATTTAATTTAATTTATTGTTATTTTGATTCGTTAATCGTATTGAAATTTTTATAATGCCGCATTGTATTCAATGTAATCCATTATGATTCATTAATGTATTATTTTTGCGATTAACAAAAATGAGTACAATAAATACATTATTAAATTCATTTCATCATAAATAAATAAATAGAATTAAATAGAATAAAGAATAAAAGAAATAAACAATTTGTGTTCAATCGTACAATTTATGCTTTAGGTAAAAAGGTTCCATTATTTTTTGTAATTATTATTATAGCATTATTAATATAGTAACATTTAAAAGTATAATAACATCATTATTGTAATTATAGTAACATTTATTTATTAAAGTAATTAAAAAGTTTATTTGGGTACACCAATCCTTTTAATATCCAATAACATTGTTTACAACACTCTTTTGTCATTGTTTTATATATTCGGAATCCTTCATATGCGCACATATCATATTTACCGTATGTATGCAACCTGTAACATATGATTTACAATACGAACTAAACTACATTTCCCAAAAACTATACTAAATTTAGAGCAATTGTACGACTAATGACGACTAATGCAATAACAATAACAGGTAACTTTTATACCGAGACTTTTTTTTTTTTAATAGTTGTATTATTAATCATCATTTTAATATAGTTGTTCAATGAATTACTCGTGTATATGAAGTTACATCTTTCTTTGAATCAATTCATAAAAATCTTTTTTTTAAAAAAATACAAAGAATAATACTTCTATACTTTAGAGAACTTGTCCGAATTTCTAGAGAGGATTATGAGTCAATATCTGGATTGTTATTTTTGATGACTAAGTTCAATAAAGAATCATTTTTGTATTTATTATTATTCTATAAATTATATCAATTATATCAATTATCAATTATATCAATTATATTAACTAATTATTAATTCAATTATTATTGAGTTTATTGTTTATTTGAATTATTAATTCGTTTTTTTTTTCTTAGAAAAAACTTAAAATT